GGGCGGAAACCAACAGAGAGCGGCTCTCATCTCGCCACAGCGCGGAGAGATTTCTGTCGCCCACAGGCCAGAGAGAGGGGGGGGGGGGGAGACACATGCCGTGCCGTCGACGTGGGTCGATCGCCTCCCGTCCACCTTGTTTGGTCTCGCACGCTGCGGGCTCTAGCCCGTGTACGTGTACCGCGAAGGTCCTCCCCACAGGAAGATCGCTTCATCTTCTTCTTCCGAAGTCGCGGTACTCTTGCTCATGCTCGCTTTGGCCGGCGCTGCCTGCACGGTGCCGAGCGCCATTGAAGTTGAGAGCATCAGGTAGAAGGCGCCGGAAGCGCCCAGACCCGCGCTGAGCAAAGCCTGCGGGACGCCGCGCTACGGAGGCACGGTTGAAGTTAGTGCCGCGGAGTGGATTGGCTGTGTTGGTGAATTAAATTGGTGGCTCATACCAGGAGCGCTGCTCCGATCCAGAGCGTCACGCACACGGAGATGACACCATCGAGGACGGAGAAAGAGACGGGGCTGTTCAAGGCGCGGCGCACCATCTTCATCGAGTTGGGAGGAACGCCTTGGCGGAAGAAGGCTCTGACGACGACGGGAGTGCGAGTTGCCCATCCAATCATTCTCGCCTACCTACCCTACTTATGGGAAACTAAAAAAGAAATCATATGATGGGTGAAGGTGGGGTACTATACCAACTAGAGTGATGGTTGGTGGTACTCTCCTGCAACCACAGTCCTTCTTGTGACATGGCAGGCCACTCTCAAGCCCTACAAGCATCAGATCACCCATTTTTTGACATCGTGATTTCCGCGAAAAAAATCTTTTTCTGAAAATTCCAGCGTGGAAGAGGGAAAAACCCGACGGGAGGGCACAGACCTACCCTTCCTACCCCGGCATCAGGTCCGAAAAGTAAAAAGAATCTACACTACCCTACTCAGGGCCGCGTCCTCCCCGTCTTCGGGCTTCCCTAACTGGTTGGAGGCCGAACCCCGTCTGCCATCTACAAAGCATATATGGTCACCGATGCTTCCGGCCAGCCGCTGGCTGCCGTCGCCTCCACTGCGCTGCCGTGCCAGCTGCTGCGAGCCTGGCTGACCGAGCTGCAAGGGAGCGACTCGCCCGACGCCCGGGCGCACTGGTGGCGGGAGTCGCACTGGCTCCCTCGTGGAGAGGTGCCTGGCGCGCTGCTTCGCGCGACGGTCGCCCACGTCGATGCAGCACTTCCGGCGGCGGTGGCGGCCGCCGCAGGACGCTGCTCTGGGCTTGAGTTCTGGACGCAGAGACGTCCGACGGGCTCTAGCATGCAGCTGCACTGGGACTGCGACGAGGAGCATGCGCAGCGGCACGGTGAGCTTCGCAGCCCGCTGCTGAGCGTCGTGCTGTACCTGGACGACCACGGCGGCCCCACGCTCGTCCTCGACCAAAGGCCGCCGGAGGCGCTTGGGCGCATGGTCCGCGCGAGCCTCGTCTGGCCGCACGCCGGCGCGATGGCGGTCTTTGAGGGCAGCCTCCTGCACGGCGTGTGCGGCCTGGGAGGCGCGCCGACGGCTGCACCGCAAGGGGTGGCGGCCTCCGGGCGCTGCCACCTCCGGTCATCCCTCCGCCACACGCTGCTCTTCAACTACTGGCGCGAGCGGCCGCTGGAGATGCCGCCGCTGCCCGAGGTGCTCGTTCCGCACAT